CCTGATATTAAAGAAGGATTGACGATTTTTAATAAAACAGGTCTGGTCAGGTGCAACAATTGTGGGGATAATCTGTTCGACTCGTTTTGCCAACATCTTTGTAAAAATTTTCACATCAGTATTTAAGAGCGATATTGGGCGATATGAACTGCAGCTCAAACGGTCTTTATCCTTCTTTAAAAGCAAGGAAATTACCGCCTGACGCACAGACAGTGGCAATAATTGTGTAGCCAAGGATTCCTCAAAAACTGATAACGTGTTCTCTGACCATTTGACTGCACGTTTAGCCAGGTAATCTGTTAAGCCTCTGAGAACCGGAGGTCAAGGCCAAGCGGTAAACAGGAAACCTTAAAGCCAATCACAGGACAAGAAGAGCATCATCCAGGACAGCCTGCTGATTTCTCTCTGTTTACTCAACAAGGTAAGAAAACGAGGTAACTGAAGCTGTAGCTGGGACACAACTTGAAGTAAACATTGAGTTTTTTTAGTGTTAGTATGTCCAAAGCAGGAGAGAGGACGTCGTCTACAACTTCTGCTGACTCAGCCTCATCAGAAAGGTTTGACCTCTGTAATTTATTTTTTTGGGAAGCTTTTCATTTGTATTCCAGAAAGAAAACTCTGGTTCATGGTTGGTTTCTCCACGTTTTAGCAAAAATGTCGCCAGTAAATCTGGCTCGGCCTCAACCTCCCCGTCAGGCTCCGTGTCTGAAACGACGAAGAAATCCTCCAAGAAGTCCAAGAAAAACACGGAGAGCATGAACAAAGTCTACACCTCTGTGCTGGAAAGTGTTTTTGGAGCCGTAAGTAGCCGACACCCGCCTGCTGGTTCAACTACTGCGGCCGTCCGGCACTCAAACAGAAAAAGATTTGTCATTTAATGAATTCTTTTGTGTCTTTTTCAGTCAATTTTGCTCCATTTTACTCACTATCATTACTAATATACAAAATAAAAGTACGTTTATATAATAAAAATGATTAAAAACTATCTGAATGTTTATTGTTTTCAGCTCAGTGTGAAAAAGTCCACCAGTGGGGGGTGGAAGGCCTGGTCCTGATCTTTGTGAGGCTGCTGGCTCTGGGCCCAGTTCTGCTGTTAGAGGCTCAGTGGTTGAAGCTTAATGTCACAGTTTGTTACAGTTATCCACATGAGAAGCTCTAGATCAGTCACATCTTTATTTAATATGTATGCAGGGGTTGGATGGAAAGTTCAAGACTGGAATTGATGATGTGTAATATTCATCTAATTGATTTCATTGATATGATTTTTTCTGTTTCCTCAGGAAAGAGAATTGGCTCAAGCTGAAATAGACGGTGAGTCTCATTTTCTATCCAACTGTAAACATTGACAACTTTATAACTTTATGGTCTCTCTATAAACAGTACATTCATGTTGGACCCAGTAATTAACCAAATGATCTTTTCACTCATCTATACAAGTCTTAACCACTATGATGAAACAGAAATTATACGTTTATTCAAAAATTAGATCCAATCTGAC